TCCTTTTTTACTGTTCTTAAAGGAAATTTATATGGAAAATATTTATGAAAAACCTTTGGGCAATATGGAGCGTGCTCACAGCCGTTTGAGGGCCGATTACAAGACGGATGTGTCTGCTCCCTCCTGCCATTTGCTGCTCATTGCCAAAGAGGCTGCGTCTCCCCACAGCCGGGTGCTCGCGGCTGACTCTCCTCCTTCAGTCTATTCTTGGCTGTGGATTCCCCTGTGCTCTTTGTGCACTTTAAGTTTAATTTTGCATTTAAAAACTCAATTGGCTCATCTGTTAAGCATTAAGCAGCTCCCTTTTGAGCCACAGGGGGAGCCCTGGGAAAACCCACAGCTGCTGAAACATGGAAAATGGGTTTAAAAAAACAAAACCATTTTAAAAGTTTAAAGCATCTTAGCAGCCGTGGATTTCCCAATCCTAACCCCCCAAATGGTTCATCTGTTTAACTTTTATCTGGTATTGGAAAACACAAACCAGAGCATTAAATAGCCCTCAAATGACTTTTTGTTTAATACAAAATGAAAGTAAAAGCGAAGCAAGCCATGTGGGAGGATCTTTCAGAGAGCTATGGCCTGGAATACCTGCTAGTGTATTCTCCCTCCAGTTACTGAAACAATCCTGAAATCCAGCCGTGCCTGCTGGAACTGCAACCTTTCCTCCACTCACTTAGACACCCCCTGTCTTCACCAAGGGGGTGGGGGTGGGGTTTGAGGGAGGGTGAGTCCAAAACAATTCCAAATCCCAGTTTATAAAATGACAATAAATTTGATGGAAAAGTTAATAGGCTGGTGATAATGAAATGTTCAATCAAGGTTTTAAGTTTCATAATGATTTGTCATTGACTAAAAATTCAGGTTTGATTACACTTGGAAGAATAAACTTAAATCATTCTTGTTTTTCCCACGTTTCCCAAATATTCCCCTAACTGACCTGAAGTCTCCTTGTAGTAGGGCCCAAGTCCCACAGTTAAGATACCAAGTCCTTTAAATGATGGTAAGACACTCCTATCAAAATGAAAATATTCTTTGGAAAGGTGACAACCTGCAAGCCTGTTATTTACTATTACCACCTAATACAAGCAAAAGTTCCACATGGAAAAACAAAATAATG